AATTGTAGCTCCAGATTCAAGAAGTATATCCCGTTTGAATTGCTATCTTCTAGAAATTTTATTAAAAAAAATATTGTACTGATTTTATGTATGTGAAATATGAAATTGAGTGAAAAATGTAATCACGGATAAGAAGGTCACCAGACTGGATTTTCTCTAATGTGTTAAGAAAGCCACCAGACTGGAAAAAACCTGTCTACCAATCAAGTTCCTGCTTGCGTCCATACACGTCACTGTAGATCAAACAACACTCCACATATAAGGTGAAAAAGCACATTTGTAGTTTTTTTAAACAGTGTAATTTTTATTTTTTCACTAGACTGAAAAATCACATTTGTCAGATCAACTGTCCTTGAATAGTGTAATTTTTTTTAAACAGTTTGTAATTCTATGTGAATTACCGGTAATACTTCACAACATGCATGCAATTATTATGCATAGGATTCACATGAACACTAGCAAAATATCATATTTCTATTGTAAGGATGTATAAACTGACCACGAGAGTAGGCATGATTTAAAAAAAAAAAAAAAAAGGATGTACAAACTGTTAAGAAAAAATCACAATTTATACCGACAAAATGTTACACCATTCAAGAACGATTGACCTGACAATCCTCCCTGCTCCAAGTTCATCACCTGATTAGCCCATCTTTAGTAGCTAATCTAATCTTACACACTGGCCCCACAATGAAAGAAAGTCTGGGAGTACATCTTTTAAACCAAACCAGCTTATATCATGATACTTCAGAGTTCTATGTGGGATACGTAATTATGTATGTGCCAACGCGCGGACATTGTTGATTTCTGGTCTTTAGTTATCATGGAGGGCGATATTGCCGGATTCTCTAGAAATTGACTATACAAGGATGAAAGGATTCTTGACCGAGAAAATGAATGCACGAGATGTATTAATTGAAGATTGAAACTAATACTAGTGTAACAAATTTTTTCAAGATAAATTTTCTTCATATCCCACAATCCGAGGCTCCGTTTTGCTCCAACTGTGAATTGTGGAGTGTCGACACCTCGCTCTTGTTTATAGGCTTATCCAAAAGGTCAAAATTGCTTATTTCGATTTTCTCCAAAGATCAAACGCTTTGTACGAGTTTGACTTGAAAAAAAACACTATGGACAATTGAATACTTGAAAAAAAAAATTATGGACAATTATTTCGATGCGAGTACTGTATCGACTTGTGATTTTAGGAACATGTCCTAATTTATAGGGGTAATCGGGATCGAATTCATTCAAGCTTTGCGGTAATAAAAAAGAATTACTTGAGTAAAGTAAGCATCTCATCTCTAGTGCCTTGAGGCCCGTAACATGGTGTTCTCGTCCATACGTGGCTTTGCGCAAAAGCTTCTGTAGAGAAAAATTTTCCAAAATCTATACTCATGTAGTATTATTGTTCAAATATTGTTTGATTTGTGTAGTATTTTATATTAAAAGAAGACCAATTTTTCCATTTTAAAAAAGGAGTCAAAATCAACTTATTTTGTTTTATTTTTTCTTTCGACAACGATAACAATTGTATAAAATATTATATTCTAATCTACAAGAGAGGAGGAGCCTAAGAGGCTTGTGTGTTAGAAATTAGTAGCTATGCAGACCTAATTAAATCAAAAAAGTGCTATGACACCACATTTAAATTTTTTTTGCTGCAGGTGAGATTTTAACATCCATCTACCGTCCAAGAAGGGACTTAAAGTCCCTGTTGGTGGCCACTGAGCTTACTTATTTTGTTTTAGTCTTTTTTTTTTTTTGCCAAATCCAACTAAACCAAAAGAGTGCTATAATACTACTTTTAGATTTTTTTTTTGTTACAGATAAGATTTTAACCCTCACTTACAGGCCATGGAGTGAGTTAAGCCCCTCCCCCGTGGCCAAGCTCAGTGGTTACTTATTTTGTTTTAGTCAAACAGAGAGAAGTTGTTCAATGCATCTTACGTACAAATCAGTGTCAGACAAAATAGCCAGTGATGCTGCTGGGCCACTAGTTCCAGCAGTCAACGGTCAAAATAGCTGCCAGTCAACAACATTTGGATTAGGGATAATTTCAAAAACCTCGCCTGAGGTTTTTAACCATTTAACTGGCCTCCCCTTAGATTTTAAAAATTATATTAACCTTCCTTAAGGTTTATTATCTTATAACATCTAGTTCCAATCAACTACTACATTGTTCAATTAATCTAATACCAACCCAAACATTAATAAAAAAAACATTGGGATTTGCTATTTGTTATCAGGATTTAAATTACATATGGCATCAAAAATAGTATATCATTTTATATATTTCACTTAATGCAAGATCCAGACTACTCTTTTCATTTATTAACCCAATGTCAAACATGATCAATAATAAATAATCAAAAAATCTACAAACAAAATATTACAAGGAGCGAACTTTATACCAGAAAAATCTCAATAACTAACTTTATTATATTGACAAGAATATTTATGATGTTAAAGTTTGTTCTCTGTAATATTTTAGTTGCAAACTTTTTCATTATTTGCAATTGATCATGTTTGATAATGAGTATGAAACTGAAAAAATTAATTTAGATCTTGTATTAAATGAAAAATACAAAATGATATACTATTTTTAAATGTTATATATGATTTGATCCCTAATAGTACTATTTTTGGTGCTATATTGAAACCTTGAAGGAAACCAGTGAAATAGTCAGAAACCTTAGGAGAGGTTTCTGAAATTATCCCTTTGGATTAACATAATATCTCCAAAAAAAAATTTATATTTCCTGTCAATACATTTTTCAATCACGTTTTTATCTTACAGACATCAAATCGTTACAATACTTTTTTTGTATATATATATATATATATATATATATATATATATAAAAACTCGAAAAAGTAACAATCCAAAAGGTTGAAGAACCAAAAACTTGTAAGTGGATTTTTTATTTTTTTTTTAGCATTGTTTGATTTACATCACTGTACTAATGGTAGATTAAAGATGCACTAAAAATTACAAATCTGTAATCTATCAAATGCAATAGATTTGAAAAATTATCAATGTATTTGAAAAATATAAGAAATTTCACAACTGTCTTTTAATAGATAAATCACTATAACTCCCTTATGTGCAAGTTTCAATCGCTAGATCTGCTAATCAGTGATACTAACTTCAATAATGATGATGAGATTTGTCGAAATAGAGTCAAATCCCAAAAATTTTCAAATTTAATAACCAAATTTGAAATAAATTTAGATCTAACAATAAAATAAGGAAAAAAAACACAAAATATCTATAGGAATCCCTAAAAGAATAGAAAATTCTCAATTGGAATTTGTAGGAGAAACAGATTACAAAAATTAGGAGAGACTTTATTAGAAAAATAAAACAAATGAATGCTACTAGAAGTATAATGTGTACCAACACCAACTAGAGCTATATACCAATGCCAACTTTGCTGGAGGAATGCTACAAGTGTACAATAACACTAGATTAATGTTACTTTGGTCTTCATCATCAATCAACTTTGGGTCAAAATCAGCCAAGTTAAAATAACCCAAAATCTAGATATTTGAAGAGGATCCTCACATTGAGCATCGTGCAGAAAAGTTCTGGCATAAGTTCAACCACAAATGTCAATGATAATGAGAACTAATCTTGACAAATCCATGCATCTAAGGCAGAGTTTCAAGGTAAAATGAACCTTGTAATGCCCATACTTTAACTGATACAGTATTACACGGTTCCCTCGCACTGAGCAGACCAACATAGGAACATTATGTTCACTCGTTACTCAGAACAGAGGTACTTTCTTTTGTCTTTAGTTTCAGGATCAGAGTACTAATTCATCATATAAAGCCACGCAGAAGGGAAAAGGTTTGTAAGTTCAAAAAATTTATAGAGGCTCTTAGGAAATCAAGGTCATTTGTTTCAACAGAAGCTGGAGATGATTGTATAGCATTTTATAGGATAATCCCCCAACACAAGTTTATGAGCAAATTATCTGTCTTAAAGTTGTCTTCTTATTTACACGTTTAGAATGTCAATCAGTCAACTGCTTTAAAAGCCGGCAAGACCTTCAAAGAGTAGTAGCATGATGACCATAAGCATGATAGAAGATTTTAAAGCTTCAGATTTTACACATCAGAGATTATGGTTGCAGCACCTCAGACAACCATGTCAAATCCTTACCAATGTAGCATGAGCATTTTCTCTTCAAAATCTTGGTGAAATAAATTAATACTAGATCACAACTTGATGCTCCATATCCAATAAGAATTTCCAAATCCAAAAGTTGTTAGTCACCTAAACTCAGCGCTTTTCATGATGATAATGTTCTTGAATGTGGTTGATTTCTCGACTTAAGAAAATCATTTATAATGATAGAAAGCCATTTGCAAGACACCAAGCTCTAAGCTGGAGCTTCTACTGACATTTTTAAAGGCTGTTACAATTCAGGGAAATGGACAACATTTTTATTAGTAATCTTTCATCATGTAATCCTAGTCTTGATCATAAGAAAACAAAATAACCCAATCCAACATCCTTAAGTGGATCACAGACAATAAAGGAAAAAGACAACCACAAGCCTATACAACATGCTGTTAGGCACACTAAATAATGTATAGGGTAAAACATGCTTCAAGCACTAACCAAGCAGAAACTTAAACTCACATGTTACAAGCACAAATAGTCTTCAAGAACCAGGCTGCTAAATTTTGCTTAAAATGAAATCAACTGCTTCATACACATTAATTGGTAACTACCAAAATAAACTGCTTCATATCCGTAATAAAAAAGTGGAAAAACAAAGATATGTCAAATCGTTTGATTTGCAGGGAGAGAAGCAGCATCAAGCTAACTCAAAGGACCTCCATTGGTTCCCTTTAAGCTTACTCCTAATTGCCATGATCAACATTTCACTCTATAGACCGAAGCTTAAACAGACTAATATAATACTAATCAAAACCAATCATCTACATCTATTTACTAGCCCTTTTTAACAAGATCTGCTTGCAACCTATATATCATTATCGGTTGATCGGTAAGTAGACAACAATTGACTCCACATTTCATGAATAACTAAGCTACAGCAGGTGATTATGTTAAAGTAAAAGAAAATATTAATAAGATGCATGTTTGCCAAATAAAGATGAAAAGCCAAGATGTAAAACACACCTTTCTTGGCCAGCAGTGTCCCAAATCTGTGCCTTGACGGTCTTTTGATCAACAATCAGAGTCTTTGTTTGAAATTCAACACCAATAGTTGCCTTTGAATCCAAACTAAATTCATTTCTTGCAAAACGAGCTAGCAGTTGAGATTTCCCTACTGCAGAATCTCCAATCAATACAATCTTGAAAACATAATCAATCTTTTGATTAAAATCTCCATACAAGTTCGACATCATTAGGAATTCCTAATCCAAATCTTGGCAGCCTCTCCTCTTCAAGCACAACCCTTCAATGTCGTACAGATTTTACACAGAAATCACTATTACATGAACCAAAATTCGTCAGAAAAAGGAAAAGTGGCATTCATTAGATCGTTATAAAAAAACAAATTTTATGACCCAAATCCTGATTTCTCGTGCACCCATACATTAGAGAAAAAGGCAATAACCATTTCTGATTAGAGACATTATGTAACGTGGGTTGATCAAGGGAACCAACAGATTTTGGCTAATAGTATAAGCTCATCGAGTTGTCCGGATTAAAGAAAAAGAGGAAGAAATTTTCGACATGGGATTGTTCGAAGGTAGTTTTCTGGGAGCTGGACGAATGAGAAAACTTAGGAAGGACAACGGTTAGTGTGGGACCCAATCAACAGTTTCGTTGGAGCATTAGAAAAGAAGAAATTTTCTCATTATTGCACGTGTAGCTCTGGGGAACTTCTTTTGGTACATTATTCACAGAGCTGTGGTGCTGTGGGGTGATCGATCCATTTCGAGCCTGAAGGCGTGGTTCAGCAGCAAAGTTTTCTTGATCTCTTGATAAAGGCGCTGTTGGAAGCTGTCAGGCGATCACGCCTTCCGTTCACGTCAATATGTGATTTTATACCTGATTCCCCTCCTCGCAATTATTTCAACTGCCTTACAGGCTAAAGGCTAAGGCTATATATTCACCGGATCAGCTAGCATTTAAAGGCTTTTATACTCCCTCCCTCAAGTTTTGGCTTTTCGATTTTGTGTTTAGTTTTTTCAACATAGTAAACTCAGTCGCCCACTGTTGTTAAAAGCGTGAACCTAAAAGTGAAGGGGAAAAATATAGAGGGATTAAGAAGCGTAGACTCTGAAGCAGCTATAAGAAGCGAAAATTGTTATATGTAGTTCATTTTTTAAAAGAAATAAAGAAAATTTAGAAATCCGTTTAGAAGTAAGATCGGGAATCTTTCTAATTTCTAATTGAACTTTTGTCCACTTCCATCTAGTTATATAATTCATACAACATTTGGTGTAGCATAATCGTGAAGTTTATCAAATTATACAAGAGCAAATTATCTGAATGGCCACCAAATTTTTTGGAATTATCAAGTTTTGATCATTGAATTATTAAAAGTCTAGTTTTGACCACTGAACTATCTAAATTTTAGATTTTAGGCGATTCCATTGAATTTTATCGGCAAATTTGACAAATCTGAGTGCTTGCACGATTCACGAGACAAAAGAAAAAGACATAATTAACAACTAAAATTGACGAAATGATCCGAAATCTAAATTTTAGATTGTCCAGTGGCCAAAATCAGATTTTTAATAGTTCAATAGCCAAAACTCGATGATTCCAAAAGTTCAATAGCCATCCGGATAATTTGCTTTTTATACAATTAATTTACAATTTATATTTTATCAACTCACACAACTAATTCGGTGGCCAAAAGTTGTATATTTTATCAACTCACACAACTGGACTTTAGATAGTTTAGTAGTCAAAATCAAACTTTTAATAGTTCAGTGGCCAAAACTCGATGATTTCAAAAGTTCAATGACCATCCGGATAATTTGCTTTTTGTACAATTAATTTACAATTTATATTTGATCAACTCACACAACTAATTCATGATTATATCAAAGTTGTATAAGTTTATGCCAAAAATTATTTTAAAAAAATTGAGCCAAATTAGACAGAATCAACTGATGAAGCCGATCCTTATAAGTAAATAAGTAATGCAATAGAAGTGCCAAAAGCTTGTACCAACAGGTTCCCTTTGCACAAGTTAATGAAAGAGTACCATCGTTGTCCCAAGTAGAAAGACAGTACACTTAAAAAGAAGGGATATTGATACAAGAATACGTAATTACCATATTCAATACTCATTTAAAAGCTTCCAATCGAATTATGGCACTTGACATTAAATTTTATACATTTTGTCCCTAAGTTTTCACTAAAGTAAATGATCTAAACATCCACATAACATTTTAACTCATAATCATTTTCTCAAATTTTTAACAAAAAAAAAAAAAAAATCTCAAACATGATGGCACTAACAAGAAATATTTTCTCAACGTACTAAAATTTTAAGGCAATTAAAGAAATCAATATTTTGGTTAAAGTGTAAATATCTATTTTTCAAGAATTAGGCAAGAAATTTATGTATGATAATTACATTTTTAATTGACTTTCAAATATAAATTATTTGATTTTTAAAAGTGCTACACATGCATAAAATGTAGTACCTTTTTACTTAAAGCCCCAAAGATGTTGTAAATCATATAGGCATTCACCTAAAAATAAATAGAATAAGGAAGGAACAGAGGATTGTTATTTTCTGAAGTTTTTGTTAGAAAATATACCGTAATGATTCGATATATATGAGGTAAAAAATTTATTGAAAAATGTGTCTACAGAAAACATAAACATTTTTCAAAAGAAAATGGCAATCCAAACAAAGCAAAGCATATATATGAACTTTTTTTTTAATTTAATTTCCGCGCTCTAAAAGTGGAAGAACCCGGTCCATTGCAACTCCAGCAGACACTAACTGCTGTGGACCAAATTCTGCTTTCTTGAAACTTCCTCAGAAACCAAACCCCACATGACTGCACAACTAGCCATTTCTTCCTCTTCTGCGATAAAAATACAGATGAACCGTTGAGAAAGAAAATATCTTTCTATGGGTGACGATGCCAACTTAAATAAGCAGAGGCAGAATAGGGAAGTAGATAAGGTTCCCATTATAGGAGGAACTGACACAAAATTCACCAGAAAGGATGTTGAAGCGTAACGAATCATGTGGGCTTTGGATTCCAGAGATATTTATTTGAACATTGCAGCAATCAAGCAACAAGAAATCTAACATCTATATCTTGGTTGGCCTAAACATAGACAAAAGAAGAAGAATCTAACCTCCAACATAGGAATAATACTGGTGCTTAATCATAGTAAGAATCTTCACATAGATTTGTTAATGAGAAACAAGATTATTACATTGAACAAGGATTGTAACTTTCACATGCCCTGTACAATTGATTTATACTTTTCTTTTTTTTTTCTCTTACCCAACTTTGCTGTAGGGAACCTTGGTTATACTAGTCTACAATATATCTGAATCTTAGAATTGAAAAATACTAGAAAATCACAGTAGTATCTGATACTCCTATCCTTGGTGCTTCAAAAGAAATTGAAAATTATTAGTTGATTGAACTGCTTCTCCATCCAGTCCCTTTGTAGTGTTTTTTACTGTACAGAAGCAATCAAACCATTTGATCTGGAACTGGCTTCTGCATGGCTGAGCATTTGCAATTTGCCCGAATATCGCTGAGTGTCTGCAGATAGATAAGATGGATGTCTCTAAAGTGTAGCATTGATGAATAGGAATGTTTGGTTTAGTACAGTATATTAGCATAATACTAGGTTCTATCCCTTGATACCTTGTACTGTTTTTGGAGATCTTTAATGTAGTCGACAGCCAAATCTAACATGTCAGCTGTGTTGGTTTGCTGCCAACAAGATATACCACAACTTTTATTTCTGCAACCAAATAGTGCTTGAAGACTATTGGATGAGGCGTACAAAATCTTACCTTGTCCATGTTTGGAACAAGATCCTGCAATTTCCTCATCCTTTCACTGATCCGGGTTCTTCTTACCTGAAAAAACAGTAGTATTTTTTTTAATTCATGCTTTAATCACATTATCCGATCAAAGGTATGTTAAACTTCTTGTGTGGTCTTGTGGGTTGTGGGGCACGTACTAAAGAATAACTGAAAAGAACCCAAAAAAAAAAAGAACTTTTGTTGCAGGATTAGGTTCAAGACAGTCCAAAAAAACAGTTTTTGAAAGTGAAGTTAAGATCAAAACCGAAATCAAATATGAGAACAAATTACCCTCTCTGCTATACTTCGTGGATGAGTAGCACAACCTCGTTTGGCACGGATTTTGCAAGGAACTGTGTCCTGGAATTGCATTAACTTGTCCATAGCAGCAAGTTCAGCTGTATTTGGTAAACTTAAGTGGTGGGACAAAATATTAGGCCGATTTCTAGGCTCTCCACCCTGGTTGCAGGCAAAAGTTCTAATACAAATCAAAACTATCGATGAAATATCACAATCAATGCACAACACAACAGAAATTGTTACCTGACTATCAGAAAATAAGTTCTGATCATAGTCAATTTCTCTCTTAAGGCCGGTTAAGTTCTCAGCGAATTTTGATGAATTGTTCCAAGATCCAAAACGGAAGCCAGAGCCATACAATTGAGTATCCCCATTGGTATTTCCTAGTTTGTCATCATTAGAGCCGTCAGCACCACCAGTCTCGTTCTCAACTTCTGATATTCTAGACAACATCCCTAACGTCGTCGGACTCCCGGATGAGAAGCTCATCGGTCCCTTGAACCTATTTGAAGATGGACTTAAATCTCCACTAGCTCCATTTGTCAGTCTATAATTTCCAACACCTCTCATTGTGGCATAGCCTGCATATTGCTGATAAAATTATAGTAGCTTGCTTTAGGAGTACAAAAATTCTTTAAGAAGCAGCAAGACGAAAACAGTAGCACTGAGATCACACAGTAGTAATTTTCATGAGGTGAAGCTCAATATGCCACCTTCCCCTTCAACTTCATTTTATTCAACCTGGTTTCCCCTCATCATTTATTTGATAACTAATCAGGAAACTGAGTGATAGATATTGATCAATCTTTCACCAATATTTTGATGAGCATTAACTTGAGATTTTGGTGTCAAGGTACAATCTTTAGGTGCAAACAATAGTAAGGGGGCTTGATAAATTTCATGAAAATTCCTTGAAGAAGAGGAAAAAGCCAAAGAAAAAGGGAAAACATCATCCAAACTAAACACTGAAACACGGACAACTAGAAAGGCCTGCTGGAATTGCCAATAAATCCCACAGAAAAGGCCTCATGAACTTATTTCACATCCATACACTTTTTGTTAAACAAATCATTTATG